AACCAATAGGGTTCCAAAGATCATAATTAGGGTGAGCGAAAGACAGGTCATAAATCAATAAATGGGGGTGAGAGAAGTACAGACATGCATGTAAAATAACAAATAGGAAATTAAGTCTGTATATATCAAGACCCTCGAATGGAACCCGAATATGTGTGTGTGTAATACGATGGTAAAATGAAGAAAATGTCATGCGAAGAGAAATTGAATAAGTGTCAGTGCTCATGGAGCCATGTGAAAGGGACAATAGAGGAATGAATGGAACGGAAATGTGACGCTGAATCCTTTATGGTTTACTTAGCAGGAAAAAAATGATTATTATTTTTATTGAAAACCATGGAGTACTGGACAGTTGTTTTATCCTAGTTTGGGGAATCATCGGCAGTACCCACCCACCACCAAGGCTCGAACTCAGGACCTTCCGGTTACAAGGCAAGCTGACACGTATACCATTCAGCCACTGAAACCCGATTCAATGATCAGCCCATGAATTCTAACTTCTATCAATCCGTGATCAACTCGTAAACACATAACTAACCCTTACAAACCAAACTATAGAAATTTAATCTGATGCTCGCTAGTGACTTTTCGGAGGATGAAGTTTCCTGGGGTTGTAGTGAGAAGTCGTTACCAGTGAGGTCCATTCAGTCACGTGTGAGGATGAATGTCCCACTGACGACATTGGTTGGGGTCGCGCTAAATCACGAATTGGTAGAAGTTAGAATTCATGGGATGGCCACTGAGTCTGGTGGGTTCCAGTGGTTGAATGGTATACGAGCTAGCTTGCCTTGTGACAGGAAGATCCTGGGTTTGAACCTTGGTGGTGGGTGCGTACTGCCGACGGTTCCCAAACTAGGATAAAACATCTGTCCAGCACTCCAGTGATGGTTTTCAATGGTTCTCTAACTGATATCAATCCGTGATCAACTCGTAAACACATAACTAACCCTTACAAACCAAACTATAGAAAATTATTATTATTATTATTGCTACTATTCCTTTGGATTCCGAGTGTAGCTGAGCTCATGACTGCCAAAAAGCTTTCATCTCCTCGATGTTACCCTCCATCACCCAGCTCACCTTTTCCCATTTTGGTTTCACTCGACAATCTGCCTCGCGTTCGATGTCACTCAAAAGTCACCTCCGCGTATGGCCGATCCATGTCTACTTTCTTCTACATATTTTTCGAACAGCCATATGTTGTTGTTTGGTTCATTTCCAGAGTTTCTTGTTGCTAATTCTCTCTGGCCGGCCATCTGATATTCAGTACGGAGCCAGTGAAATGGGCAGCTGTTGAAAAAATGTCTGTACCAGCCTGTTGGAAATGCTTCTCGTGAAGTGCCAAGTTCCTGACCCATATAGAAGAAGTGCCTTAATATTGAGGTTGAAAATCCGAATTTTGTTTTCTCTGTGCTGAGTATACAAGATTTCCACGCTGATTTTAGATTGATGAATGTCTGTTCCACCTTCCCAATTCTGGCTGTCTCTGACATCTTCACCCATTCCGCTTGTAGTTGAAACTATTCTCCGTAGACAGGTGAAGGAACTGACATCATTCAAATTTCTCCCGTCGGCAGTGATTGTTGGTTATCTTCATCACCTCTGTTTTCTCTATGTTCACCTGGAATCCTGTCTTCTCTGCCTGTCTCTCCTGCCAGCTTTTTGTTTCTCACCCTAAAGTCTTCGAATTTGTGTGACATTAGACATTGTGCGCCGGTGGCAAAGCGGTTAGGACGCTCGCTGACCATGCACATGGTCCGGAGTTCAATCCCCGGCCGACGCACTCCTTTACCTCGCTAAGCCAGAAATAATGCTGGTAAAGAAGGAAGGTTGGGAGGCATGAGGCTAGCAACCCCATCCTGTAAAATAAACACTGCTACAGAAACTTCAAGCCACTAGCTTGAAGCCCTATGTTCCACTGGCGAACGTGAGGGGAAAACAAGACATAAATCATCAACGCGCGAAATCCAGATCTTCTAGAGTCTTTTTATCAGTCCAACGTATTCCTGTCTTCCCACTCCCTGTGTACAGTCTGACGCATAATCCAGTCCACCACCTTGTCTTACTCCTGTATTCAATTCGAACGCCTCACTGAGTTTTCGGTTGTGGGTCATCTGCCACATGGCATTGTCATATAGCGAGCTGTTGAATGAATTTGATAAATATTTGGGTATTGCACGCCATTAGTGTTGAAGCAGTTTCCAAATTACTTCTTAGTCAACACTGTCGAAGGCCTTTTCGAAGTCAATGACATTGCGTTAGGGATTTGACTGACATTCTATGCTTTGTTCTGTGATGATGATGCGTAGAGCTGCAATTCGATATACACCTGATTTTCTTCTCATGAGTCCAGCTTCTTCCGGTTGACGGAGTTTAGCATCTATTGCATCTCTCAGCCTCTCAAGGATGAGGCGACTTAATACTTTTTTTTATAGTGGGCAAGAGCAAGATACCGCTCCAGTTTTTGCACAGTCTCCAATCGCTCTTTATTGGTAGTTTGACAAGGTAGTCTTTCTTCTCAGCATTTTTCAATAGAGGCGTGAGTGTATTCGCTGCAGTCTCCAAATCCATTTTCAGTGCTTTCGGATGGAATCCATCTGATCCTGCTACCTTCCAAGACTTCATTAGCTTGACCGCCTTCGAGACTATAACTTTTATTAGAGGACTGATATCCACTGGTAGCTCTGTGCATGCTCCTGGTAGTATTTCTGGACGAATTGTAGGTGATGGCTGGTTGGAGAGTTCTTTGAAGTGATCAGTCAGTCCATCGTTTTATTTGTTTCTCCTGCTTGGTGGTCAGGTTCCCTTAATAATAATAATAATAATAATAATAATAATAATAATAATAATAATAATAATTTGCTTTATTCCAAAACAGTACTTGTGATACAGAATGGAATTCTCAGCATTTTTACTACAGTATTGCATCCAGTTAGTACATTATCAATAAATAGAATGCTACATAGATTAAGGAAATCTCAGTTCATTAATGCAACAACATATTGGCATGTCGGTAGCAGAGCCAAATTTGAACAGTGTTTGAAGGTGTTAGAAAAGTAGGTGCTATCATATTTACTGGAGTAAGCGGAAGAAAGAAACAAAGCAGCACATAACAAAAAAAAGAAGAGAGAGAAAAGGAAAAGAAAGAAAGAAAATGTTGTACCTTTTGATGATGTGAGTTGGAAAGACGAGGTTCAGTTGTACTACTGACTATTTAATGAATTATAGGTGTCATGCCTAATGCTTTCTTTATCACACAGAACACGAGCTAAGTAGGGTATGGTTGAGTTTTTGTACTTGCTGGTGCGAGCATATAGTTCCCTATATAGGCTTCTGGTTTTGCCTGATGAGATGCAAGGGGAGAGTTGTGAGTGAAGAGGGTGGTTTGAGTTAGATAAAATGGACTTGGCCCATTTTTCACATGAGTCCATGTGCCTGTGAACCACAATATTAACAAGCTGGTTAAGTGGTACGTTGCTTACCCTGTTGACAACCTTTAACATCCTGCGTAATATGTTATAGTCTTTCTTCAGTAGCCCGGGAAAAACTAAGGGGGAACAATAGAGAATAATAGGCAGAATCTTTTATTGGTTTCTTCATTTGGGTTGATCTCTTCACGAATGGAGACCTAGTTGTTGGATATAATGTTCTGAGGTATCTTCTTCTTCTGGCCTGTAGAATTAAATCGATAAGACTGCACAGGATGTCGATAAGCTTGATCAAAAGAAAATTCTAGAATTGGGGATAAAACAAAAAGGAGGTCTGAAAATGTGAAAAACAAAAAAAAGCATATGCTGCACTCAGTCAGTCTGTCAGACACCAATCACTTGAACTGATGAAAATTAGGTCAGATGAAATCAGACACAGTAAGGTAAATATAAATACAGGTAGAAGAAAATACGCCTAATGCAAACAAAGTATGAAATAATGAATATTGTGAAGCTAAAAATGATAACATATTGGAATTTTATGCTTTTTGTTTAAATCATCATCATGCTGGGGCTGGCTGGGTGGGATAGATCAATGAAATTATCTCTTTCTGACTATGCACACACTCAGACACAGATAGGCAGGCTTGTTTTAATCAAAATACAGACAAATTGTACATTTTATATGGCAAATGAATCCATCAGAAAGTCATTCTCATGACCACTATCCAGTAGATGAAACTTGTGAAGCACTCTAGTGATTGCATGCAAGATTTCATCATGAGCTGAAATCAGTTAGAGAACCACTGGAAAACTTTGGAGTACTGGACAGCTGTTTCGTCATAGTTTGGAACTCTTCAGCAGTACGCGCCCACCGGGATTCGAACCCAGGATACCAATACTTGAAAAAAGCACTCTAGTCACAAGCCGCCTGGAATAGACTGATTGTGTGTTCTAACACTAAGCATCCCTTCTGTTTTTGTGTAATGTATGTGCTGCTGAGCGTCTACTTAGACAAGTTTGAGAAGTTGAAGGTATCAGGAATGTGGGAGATTGTTTAAGGGAGCAACCTATTTGTCAAAGATCTACTAATGTGTTAGCTGGAAAAATCCTCTTTAGGGCAACATTTATTCTGTAGACAGCAATTCACGTCAGTGTTACGTTCCGCATTGGGAGCATGAGAAAAAACAATAACAAAGCTTAACATTGAGGAACTCACCAGTCAATCACAGCAGACTTAACGTGTGCAAATCCGACTTGCAGATATACGGCTTAACTTTCTAAGAAACGGTCACAAGCAGTACAAAATAACCTTCAGCAAGAAAACAACCAATCAGAAGACGTTGCTTCCCTGCTAATAATAACGAATAAAAATTTACATAAAAATATAGAAATATCTGTTGATTTTCTCAATAAACGATCTGTTGCCTGGCGCTTCTCTTCTGTCGTTACAGATTGACATTAAATAATCTCAAAAGTTTGCTCTTTCTTTCTTTTATTTTAAGAATACAGTTGCGCAATACTTAATCACAACCCGTATTTTCACCTGTTCTTTTTTCCCTTCTACTCAAGATTTAGTCATCATTATTTATCCTGAAAGCTTTGAACAACTGGAAGATAGAAAATTAATTAAGCAACAATTTGAATACATACTACAAAAGTATTTCAATACACCACAGACGCGTTCAGTAATTGGCGTCACTGAGTTTAAAATTCAAGTGCATGTGAATGAAGAAGATGTAGACAATGCTATAATGGAATGGAGAAGTAATACTGTACCAGTTATGTATCGTCTGGAAGATTCAGGTGAGTATTATCTTTAAAAAAACAACCAATGGACGGCTGTTTCATCCCAGTTCATGACTCTTCATCAGTACCAATGTATGATGACTCTACCATTAGGGATTGAACCCTGGACGTATAGGTTACAAGCTACTGAGGTGAAATTCAATTACCCATCAATTTCAACTTCTGACATTTCTTGATATCTAGTGGGACAGTTAGCTAATGTCCTCAGCAAAATTTTGTCCCCACACCCAACTTCTTGGACCCTGCTGATCACGACTTACCATTAGAGATTCGAGTAACTTCATCCTGTAATGAATCACTAATCAGTACTAGATTAATTCGTTGGTTTGCAGGGTTTTGACTGTTTTAAATTTCGATTATGTAGGGGCTTCAGTGATAAAAAGTTAGAACCTATGAAACACTAGATTCTGTCCAAGTGGTTCAATGGCATACGACCCCTGATGATGCAGTGATGGGAGCCTACTGATGAAGAGTCCAAAATAGGGACGAGACAGCTTTCCAGTACTTCTTGGTTTTTAAAGACTCGCTAACTGAAGTCAATTTGTGATCCAAATGGAATTCTATTGAATCCCCGCAAAAACCAACATTTGGAAATGCATGAGTTGGTTCAGAGCAAAAAATAGCCCAAGGGACAAATTGTGGTTCCAATAGCGCTTTCTACTTCAGGCTGCATTAGAGATTTGACTGCCACTGGTGACATCATGAAAGCCACTTAATGGCTCTGTGTGCTCGGCGTTGTCGTCTGGGTCATCAGACGGGAGCAGATTTCTGACTCTTCAGTTGACAATTTCGACAATCCACATCCATTCCATCTGCTCTCGAAGATACTCAGCACTTCTATGCCATATCTTCGGATTTCTTTGGCTACTCCGACAGCCTTCCCAATATTATACATTGTATGGACATTCCACGTCCCCATCCTTATTCTTGCTTTCATCGAAAGAAGATACATCGGCTGGCTGGTGACTGGCTTACCGAAGTCTGGCTTTCGCCAGCCCACTGTGTCATCTCGCCTCTTTCACTCCAGCGAAAAATGGGTTTTTAAAAAATGTTTTTGTATTTTTGTTATTTTTATTGTGTGCGGAGATTTCTCTAGCCGTTTGACAGCGTTTGTAGGGCAGGCTCGCTAGCCTCACGCCCAACCCTCCCTCTTTACCAGGGCTTGGGGCCGCTTCACTTCAGTTACCTCTACGAATACCCATAAGCTGTAATCTCTTTCTCACACGACCTCTCCCATGTCATTTTCGGATGTCCAACTCTTCGTTTCCCATTCTGCTCCCACTTGAGCAATAGCCTCGCACAAGATGTAACTCGACAGTTTCCCGAGCCACTGCCATTTTATTCGGTATATTTGTTGGGCAATAGGCTTGTCACTGCTTCTTTTCCCAGAGTTTCTTGTCACCAACTCTTCCTCACCAGCTATCAGCTGTTCACGAGGAGCTAAGGCGAAAGTTGATATAAGTCTGCAGGGGTCTTTTCGTGACATACACAACAAGTTTCTGACCCATCTAGAAGAAGTGGCTTCAAATTGCTGCTGGAAATCCAAATTTTCTTCCAAACTGAATTCACACTGATGAATGTGTACTTTGCCCTTCCCAATTCTGGTTTTCACCCGTGTAGTTGCAAAGATGTCTCCCAGATGAGTCAAGGAACTCACCTCTTACAAATTATTCCTGTTGATCGTGGTTGATACTTTGTTGTTGGTGGTGTTGTCAGTCGATTGATAATCACCGTCACCTCCGACTTCTCTATGTTCACTTGTAGTCCTGTCTTTGTTGCTTCCTCTGTCAACTTGCTGGCTGGATGTCCCAAGTGAAATCCCTCCCCCGCCCACCTAATAAACATTTTGCCTCACTTTCTCTCCTTCAGATGTTAAATGTATCATCCACATACCGATAACAGAAATCAAGATTGTGTACTGCATCTTTAAGAGGACCGAGTGGTGATCCCATGACAACACCATTCAGATTGTTTATATACATGTTTATTGAACAGAAAATTCACGTTCATCGGACAACTTAAAAGAAGTTCCTTTTAGAGTGTGTGTGTGGGTGTGTGTACATTGGAATATTTCCACAAAATGACATGAAACTGATTCAGCCTACTAAAGTAGTCAGCTTTGAATCAAATCCTGTCGTCAACACATTCAATATAACTCAGACATGAGAAGAAATAGAGACAAAAGAGACGCATATGCTCAATCAGTAACACATTAAAATAGCACCAGTAATTCTAGGTCCAAATTATATTGTAACAACAGAAGACAAGGGCCAGGCAACAGATCGTCTATTAAGGAAAATCAACACATATTTATAGATTTTCATGTACATTATTGTAGATTATTGTTAATAGAAAATACAGTCTTTGGATTGGTTGTTTCTCACAGAAAGTTAACCTTGCATCTCTTTGTGGCTGGCTGTGTCAGATCATCCATATGCTAACTGTATCCGCCTACGCAAAGCCTTTGTTCTCATTTTCTCACCACCAATATTGGGGACATAAACATTGACGTCAGTTACTGTCTACCAACTTTGGCTACCAGCCAGCTCTCACCACAATATCAGATGCAGTAGTATACTGGGATATAAGATGAATTAGTAGTCCGTTGGTTTTTTATCATCCTTTAAATGCATATAAAATGTGCAGTTGTAGCGTGTACTATTGACACGATTTATCAGTAGTAAATGGAGAGACGTTCATTAGAGGTAGATTTAGCGTCAGAGAGAGAGAGAGCAAATGAACCAGTATTGTGGCGGTAAAACATGGCAGACACAAAAGAAGATAAAGAAACACAGTACGAAGGGCAGAAGTAGGAAACATAACACGGAAGATCTGTGGAAATGACGACTTTCGAACACGCCGGGATTAATTTAAATAATTTATAATGGTTTATATTATTTATTATTATTTTTTTCTTTAGTTCCTAGAGGAACATAGGGCTTCAGCCACTCACGTCTCCATTGCGTTCGGTTCTCTGCTAGAGTCTTCACCTGGATCCAAGTCTGCCCACACACCTCCATCTCCTCTTCACATGACCTCCTCCAAGTCACCCTTGCACTGACGACCAACTCGCCGCTTCCCTTTCGGCTGGGTTCCACTCGAGCAATGGCTTGTCTAGCGATGTCACTTGATGGTTTGTTTCCTCAGAGTATGGCCTCCAGTCCACCTATCTCCATTTCTTCCTGCCTATTTGTTTCACAATTGGTTCCTGGTTGGTTCGCTCATTGCCAGAGATCTCTGTTGCTGATCTCTTCTGGCCGGCCATCTGATCTTGAGCGACGTATTGAGTGAAGACAACTGTTAATGAAGGTCTGTAGTTTGTTTGAGATGCCCCAAATGGCGCGCAGTGCAAGTCTCTGATCCGCATAGCAAGTAGCACTGACTTCACATTGGAGTTGAAAATTCGGATCTTATTTTTGATGCTGAATGCTGTTGACCTCCACACAAACTTGAGAGTAATGAAAGCTTGTCTTGCTTTCCCGATCCTCGCCGCTTTGATATCCTCATCAGTTCCGCCCACCTGCAGTTGAAACGATGCTTCCTAGGTAGGTAAAAGAGGTTGTTTCTTTCAGGTTCCTTCCATTTATTCTGATTGTTGTATGTTGTTGTTGCTGTTGGTGGTGTTGGCCAGGAATCTTCATCACCTCTGTTTTCTCTGTGTTCACCTGAAGTCCTATCTTTGATGCTTCTTCTATCGCCAACTTGTTGCTTTCCACTTGCATATCTTCCAGTTTGTGGGAAATCAGACATATATCATCATCGGTGAAGTCCAGATCTTCCAAGTTTTTTGTGAGTCCATTTTATGCCTGTTTCCTCATTACCCGCTGTTTGCCGTATTATCCAGTCTACTGCAATCAGGAAAATCATTGGCGATAGTAGGCAGCCAGCCCTATCTTACTCCTGTCCTCAATTCGAAGGATTCCGTAAGTTTCCCGTTGTGGATTACTTGACATGGTGTATATAGAGATATAAAATTCCTGCATTTATTCCCCTTCATGAATTTGAATAAAGCAAGAAGAACAGTGGTGGTTTATGCAGAATAATATGACGCCATCATCGCTTATTTCTCTGGTTTCTCATCAGCTCAGCTGCTTACAGCCTAAATAAATTATGAGGTTTATATACAGAAAAGTTTTAACATACTTGCAAATTTTGCTTTCATGATGTCAGTTGACAGAAAGTTCCACAATCAGTGAACAGTGCTGAGAAAATTGCACTTATATAGTTTTTGCATAGGGAGTTCAAGTTTAAACAAGGTGAATGTATGCATACAATGGTAAAGAAGTTACGTAATCAGGACGACAGATGCGTAGGATATCCTTCTCATGTTAACTCCAACTGTGTATACAAATTTACATGTGTCTGCGGGAGCAGTTACACTAGGAGAACAAAAAGAAGGGCACACCTCCGATTTTCTGAACATGTACCGGAAAGCCTAAGTCTCAAGGGGAACAAACTCTTATAATAGCGATATTACCAGGCATCTCCTTGATATGCGTCATGAGGTGGAAATCACAAAATCCTTCAGATTTATCTATACACAAAGGAGTTCGATTCTCCTCAAGTTCACCGAAGCTATTTCTATCAAACGCTTGAAACCAGATTTATATGTTCACAGAGAAACAGTTATTAGTCTTTCCTTGCCTACCTGGAAACTGGATGTCTTTATTCTCTTTCGCCCCTTGACATAGTGTAATTTTGCTTGTCTCTTGTTTCTATGATTTGAGCTGAACTCAGTACATTTTTACATAGTTTATTAGTCACTCGGCATCTTACGCATCTCTCGTCTTTACTAATTAACTCCCTTACCATTGAATGCTTACATCTATTTTGTTTAAACTTGAACTCTCTGTGTAAAAACAATATATGAGCGCAATTTTCTGAGCACTGTTCACTTATTGTGGAACTTTCTGTCAACTGACATCATGAAAGCAAAATTTGCAAGTATGTTAAAACTTTTCTGTACATAAACCTCATAATTTATTTAGGCTGTAAGCAAGCAGCTGAGCTGATG